CCGCTTCACTAGTCGCCGAGGTATCTGCCACACGCTATATTCTGACTGTTGAACCAATTTTGTAGGAGCAGATAAAGAGCTGAAACGACTATTCGCTGCAGGATCCCGCACTTTACGAGAATTATCAAGTTTGATCGCTCAAGATGGCACGAACTGGAAATTCAATCCGCCTGGAGCTCCACATTTTGGAGGAAAATGGGAAGCCGCTGTGAAATCTATTAAATTTCACCTTCGCAGAACAATCGGAGACTCGCTATTGACGCTTGAGCAGTATTCAACGCTACTGGCTCAAATTGAAGCAATATTGAACTCCAGACCGCTTACTCCGCTGAATGAAGATCCTGTTGACCTGGCTGTATTAACTCCAGGTCATCTCTTAATCGGACAGTCATTGACCGCAGTCCCAGAGCCATCGCTAACAGATTTACAACCTGCTCGGCTCTCGCACTGGGAACAAGTCCAGCAAATGGTGCAACATTTCTGGAAACGCTACTACCAGAACTGCATCCACCGCTATCAGGCCATTTCAAAGTGGCATCATCAACGCAACCAGATCAAGGTGGGTTCAGTTGTACTGATCACCACTGAGGATCTTCCGCCAACCAAGTGGCCATTAGCCAAAGTGATTGCTGTCCATCCAGGAGCAGATGGACAAATCCGCGTGGTAACTGTGAAGACAGTTAACACAGAGCTGGTACGCCCAATTACAAAGCTTTGTGTCCTGTCGCTGACGCATGAAGAGGATGATCTTGTCGACGCAGCCGCCAACGCCGGGGAGAATGTTCAGTGAACAGGCCCACTCAGTGAGCAATACGTCACTGTGGGCTCCCCAAATTTACAACACGCACCTGACAAGCGATCGTTCCCACAATTTCTCACCCGCTTGCGCAAACCGCTTGACTGATCACGCCACATGTATCGAATTTTACCATTGGCTATCGATGTCGACATCAATAAAACGAATTTATTGATTGGCTATCGCTCTCGCTAGACATGCGCAGTAGCCTTCTTCTCCAAGACGAGGAAGAAGACGAATTATTATTATGATCTTTCGCATCCATCTTCCCGCTTGTCAAGTCGCATTTTCGCATACATAAATTTCGTTTTCTAAATTAACCGCTTTTTCGCCTTTAAATAATTTTCTTTGCTTAATTAATTTGCTAATAATTCGCTTTAGTCTATTTTAGATAACTTACAATTATTTGTGCAATAATTACCGCTTTTTTCAGTGCCGGCAGTTTATTCATGCCCGAGAAAAAATATTTATATATATTTATATATATATTGGTTATATATGATTATATATGAAAAATGGCCAAATATAATCATATCTAATTATATATAATCTTGCTTGGCTGTATATTGCTCTATATATAGTCATATATAATTATATATGATTATATATAACCTTATATACAATTCCATGTATAATCATGTATGATTATATATAACTATATATGATTATATATAACAATATTTAATTATAGATTTATTACATCTCATTAATTATTGGGTTAATTTTATGGATAGATTATTTAATATGGTCCTACGCAATTCTGTGTAACCGATCAAAATGTAAAAAAAATATCTAGATCTAATTTTATTGCTATAACACCAGCGGTCACCCATCCAACTCTATTAACCCTGCTCAATGCTGCTTAACTTTGGTGATCTTCGTGCGTCTTGAAGTTTCTGTCTGCTGTGCTGCTGTCTTAGACAATAATGATTCTGTGATCTACTTAATGTATCATATGAGTTTATCATAATTATAATATAAAAATTGATTTTATAATATATTTGGATATTCATAATTCATAATTTATTTATCTTACCGAATTTCATTATAATATAACCCTTATTTAAATAATAAAATAAATAATGATTTCATTATTACGTAGTAGCAGAGCAGACAAAACATCTCGTAGGAAATGTGACAAATTTTGTATTTCAGAATTATTTAAACGTAATTATAAACATCATTTTACCCTTTTTGTGATTACCAAAAAAAATTTTTTTTTCAACGAAAAAATTTTTATGTATGTTAATTATATATAAGCATATATAATTTTTTATGGGACTATGTACAATCTTGCATAGCTGTATATTGCTCCATATATAGTCATATATAATTATATATGATTATATATGACTTCATATACAATTCCATATATAATCATGTATGATTATATATAATTTTATATACTTATATATATTTGTATATGGAACTATATATAATCCTGCATGGTTGTATATCGCTCCATATATAGTCATATATAATTATATATGATTATATATAACCTCATACACAATTCCATATATAATCATGTATGATTATATATAATTATATATGATTATATATAATTATATATGTGATTCCATATATAATCATATATGATTATATACAATTATATATGATTATATAAGAACATTTTTTCTCGGGCAACCACGTGCTAACCGGCTTCGCTTTTGCTAACTACGCTGTGTATTACATATCCGCTTTTATTTAACCAATCCGCTATTGAACTAGTCAAATATTTAATGTATTTATTGTTAATAAATATCTAGTGTTATTTTTGTTAATAATTTTTGTATTTTAATTGAGATAACCAGACCGAAACCTGATCCTTAGTTTTTTCGCTCTTTCAGCATTTTACAATTTTCAATTCATTTTTTGTAAATTACTATATAATTAATATTTTTAAAAAATAAAATAATAATAGATAAAATTTTTTTTTTATTTATTGCTAGCCAATTTCTCGATCAATTACAAAATTAATTATTTCAAATACATTTTGAGTACATCAAAAATATTTTGTATTCAGTAACACGTTTTTTGCATACTTTTTTTTTTCAATTTCTATACGTATATAAATACCTCATATTTTCAATATCTATGCATATTATATTTTTAATTTTACTGAAAATTGTAAAATAAAACCCATAAAATCTACAAAAAATTTATTTATTTAATTTTTTTAGCGCCTTATGCTTTTCATTAATTTTAAAAATATATTTTATAAATTTAAACAAATACTATCAAAATAAATATTTTTAACGAAAATAACAATGTTTAATAGATATTTTTATTTACCTTAAGAAAATTAGTATCCAAATATTGAAAACTGTATTGGTCAACTTAATTCACTGTAACCTATAATAATTTTAGCCGAGATTACTTGTTCGAAGCTTCAGGATCAACTGATTGTAGCTTACAACTTTTGTTAATTTTAGATACTTATAGAGCTGATACTCATACTGTATAAGCCATAAATATTTGACGATACTCATTAGTCTCGGTTCGTGTCAAAATTTAACATCTGTCCTATTCAATCAGTTCTTACCTGATGGAAAATTTCGTCACTTTAGTTGAGTTGAATAGCTCCATCTTACAATCAAATCTATTACTGCAATGAGTAAGAGAAAGATATAGTTACAATAGTATTACAAGCGTAAGAAAGATAAAGAAATCGTATACTTCTCACACAGAAATAATTACTGCAGAATTTCTTAACAAGTATAAGTTAAATATTTGTGAAAAATATAAAAATAAATTTTTTTTGCAAATAATACCACCAACTAATACTTATTTGACACAATTAAATTTATTTATTTGAGATAAAAATATAGTTTATTCAGTGTATTTATTTGTATGAAATAGTTATTTGTTTATAGTTAACAAATTCTTTAATACTTTAATACTTTAAAATCATTTATTTCAGTCGAATCAAATTTGTTAACTATAAACAAATGTGATATTTGAATGTCAGTAAAAAAATCATGCTCTGTAATATAGTAAATAATATCTGACATTTTTTTAGAGTTATGAAAGCAATTCGGATGAGTTTATTTATATAATTTCGACGTTCTAATTAGCAAATTATCTAACTCCATTTTAGAGAATCTTCCATTTGTACGAAAAAAATTAATTCAAAATTTAATATCACTATAAAAAATCATTTAATATCATTAATATCTAATAGAGGTAGAATTTCATTATAGCATCACATTTATTTAAATATTAATAAAATTATGAGATAGTAACAGGGCAGACCAGAAAATCCAATAGAATTTGTAATTGATTTCGTTTTTTTATAATTACTCAAACATCATATTACACATAAATTTTGCACTTTTTATAGTTGAAATAGTATATTACGACCCAAGGCCAGAAAGTTGCATTTCCTGGCGTATGGGATATGATGGCCGAAGCGTAGTCACGGCAGTTATATCTATATATATGAATTATTTCATGTAAGTAGAAGAGAGAATGAAATATAACTTATAATCAGGTTGAACTGTAATCATATATAGCTTTTTTTTTACCCGGCGGGTGATAACTTTTGAATAAATAGTAGATTACATACCTAGGCCAGTAAAATAAGAAAAGTCTCAGACCACATGTAATTGTTGGCCGAGGCGAAGCCGAGGTTGACAAACATGTGGTCTGAGGCTTTACTTTTTACTGGCCAAGGTGTGTATACTATTTTTCTGCTCGACGTAGCCGGAATGTGGCAACTTTGTTTAGCGCAGTGGCCAGAAAGTTGCCACTTTCCGGCCGGAGGGCAGAAAACTTTTTTTTTCGAGAAAAGTTAATATAATTTAATATCCTAATTTAGCTGTAAGTATGATTATATTAATGGGATCATCTTAATAATTAAAAAAAAAATCAGGAATTCCTCGGTAAAAAATCCTTTTATTATTTTTTTTTCTTTTAAAAATTAATTATACAATTTATTTTTTTCTTAAAAAATGAATGAAAATTATGAGGCGCGCACTTTTGGATTTTTCTATTAATATATTCTTAAAATTCCCTCAAAAAATAAACTAGACAGAATTAATTTTTTAAAATAAAACATGCTTGATAGATTACTCAATCTTTCCATTCAAACCATCATTAGCGACTCCATTTTCAATAGTATTTTCTATATTATTCAATTTTCCAGATTAATCTCCCTTTACAACCATTTCTGATTGATTAATTGTAGATATATTAGCGAGAATTAATTTTTCAAGGACCGAAATGGTAACTCAAACATGAGGCTGAAAACAAATCCGCCTAGGATGTAAACCACTACCTCACCGAGAAATCCATGCATCTACAAAATCGATTAATCGTTGGTTAGTTTAGTATTGAGAAGGCTCGGCTATTAAGACTATTATAAGAAATTTTCACCATTTGTGCATCGTTAAAGTAAGTAGGAGCTCTGGAGGAAGCTCTTTTAATCGTTTGAATTTCAAAGTGGATTAGGTAAATCGAGTATGACATCCGACTGAATGGGATGTAGATCGGTAATGACAGAAATTTGGCTATAAATCCTGTAAAAATAGAAGTAATTAATAAATTTTGTCCCAACGAACAATAAATCAATGAATTAATCTATCATCAAGTTTGAGAAAATTCTTAAAGAATTTAATAATTAATTTATCAAGCTTTAAAAATGGTCCTTTTTTTTTTACTAGGACTGTTGGAAAAAATTATTTATTTTAGATAAAAATTAAAATTTTTAATGATTAATCACCTAAAATCAAAATAATGTCATAATACTAAAATTAGCAGCCGTTTTAAACTTTGATTTCTTTTAATTTAATAAATTAGAACTATGAAATATTTTTTAAAAATTGCACTTATAGCATTTCAAAAATTTTTTTATTACCTCCATGACCTAAGACAGATACATAGATAATCCAGCAGACTCCAAACGCCCAAATATGCTGTGACAATCCAGCATAGAAGGTTTCCCAGTAGATATTCCAGCGGTAGTCTTCACTTTGGTAGATCCTGAACGTAAAAATCGAGAACATGAAAGCTAAAATGGTGAAAATCCACCCCACTTTCCTAACTCGAGGGCCGGGGATTCTCCGATCGGTAGCCAAAAGATATCCTACCAAGACTCCCAGCAACCACGGACCGGCATGGGTGTAAGTAACGAAGTAAAAATAAAGCATCATATCTACCTTTCTGTCCAAACTTAAAAAAAAAAGATCAATTAATCGTATGTTATCGTCTGAAGATGCATGATTGATAATTATACACTTACTCGCCAGCAAGTGTCCAAGCGATAGTGAACTTATTTACTGCCACTACGACAGCTGGTGTGATTATCGACGCAATGATTGCGACAAAGAGAATACTTAATCCAAGCTTAGGCTTCTTGTAAAGCGGATAAAATATTAATGGACTTAACCAAAACAATTGCATGTCCATTGCCAGATACCAAGTGTGGAGCAAACACTCCTAAGATAATTTTTTAAAAAATTTGGATTTTTACAATGGGTGATACAGTAACTTATTCAAAGGGTGGAAGTATTATTATAATGAATTTAGTTTTAGGATCAGTTATTTTTAATTCTAACTTCTAATTGATTTTTAAATTAATTATATGAAGATTAGAAGATCCAAAAGTGCACGACTCATTATGATCATTTAATCATGAAATAATAATGAAATAAAAAATGTGAAATAGAATCTACAACAGCTGTTAGACAACGATAATTCTTAAGTGCCTTCAGTGGGATGAATCTACATAATATATGTAGATATACAGACTATTGGTTTTTTTATTTTATTAATTTCAATTAAACGACACTGAGTTACAAAGCCACTCGTAATAGAGGATGACCTACAATTCATGTAAAGAATTAAAACAAAAAATTAGGAAAAAGGTTGACCCTAAAGAACATCTCTGCAACTTTCCGCTAATTCCATATCAAGCGTTCTATTGCACTAAATAAATTTTTGAAGAGTATGGAATTAATATCGATTAAATAATCTTGACAATAGCATGCAAAATATCTTGACTCCGTTAACTAACACGGGTATAATAATAAAAATAGTTGCCGAAATGAAGTGAAAAAAATTTTTCGATCGTAAAGGACTCTCTTATGCTTCGCATCATAAGCCGTGCAATTATTGGATGGTTAGCTTAAATTTATACTAACTATTCCCTCCTTGTAAATGTAATTATGAACATACAGGAGCATCGGCCACCAGTTTTTTCGGCAATAATGACTCTGGATGTTCATTGTCGTTTTCCAGAGTGCACCTGAACCCATCTTCGGAAGTAAGAATGTCGTGATCGAAAGCAGTGCCAAGAACGCGGGTGTTAATCTGCATTAATCATTGTTTAATATGTTAATGTAGCTGAAAGTAGGAAAATTTTTGTAAACATCAGAGTTATCGAAAAATGATTTTTTTATAACTTTTTTTTTTTTATAATTTTTATATTAAATCTATAGTTGAGGAATTACAATCTACATTGAGAGAATAAATTTTTTTTTTAAATAAATTACCAATCTCTATGCTCTAATAGTAGTAAGGGGCACGGAGGGCGAGACACAACAAACCCCCACTCCGCGGCCACTGGCGCCAGACCTTTTCCTCACCCCTCAGCGGGAGTGTTCGGGACGAATGTCTGGGTCTTTTGATTGACAGTTGTTAATATACTTGTTGAAAATGTGTTTTCTCGAATGTTTACAAATGTGTAGTCATGGCAGTGTATGTTTTTTATGTTTAAAGATGTAGATTGATGTTTGGGACCTGTTCCTCGTTATCTTGGCAGGGAGGGTCTTGGCGTTTTCTTGAGAGGTGATAATTGGGTATGGGGAAAATTTATGGTGGGTATTTACATGTATAAAGGAAAACATGTGGTCCTTTCGGCAGGGGGCCTTGGAGAAGTGTGAGATGTTTTGAGGATGTTTTTCTTATGGTGTGGGGGTGAGGGGATGTGTTGTTTCTCGAAACTATAAAAATTTAGTTTTTATCTGTGGTTTAATTTCTTGAGAGTACATTCAGTTTTTAACTTCTGATTACGATGGATCCCAACGGTTTAGGTGCCTCCTTTGAGGACGAATGGTTTGCTGAAAATGTTTTACCTGAAATTTTCCCTGATTTAAATAATTATTTGCAGGATATTGATGGTAAGTGAATATATGAATAATTACTAAACTTTTTTAAAATAATTAGGTTCGCTAAATTTTTGATTTATTTTTAATTTCATTTTTAAAAAAGGTCATCTTCCAATTGAAAATCCAGTATCGTATGATGGTAGACAAATTGAAAACAATGATGATGATCAGGTTGTTACACAATGGCTAGACTTCCTCAAAACATCTCACACTTCTCCAAGGCCCCCTGCCGAAAGGACCACACACAGTAAAAAATATTGTGTAAAATCAACACAGTTTGTGTGTTAAAAATGGTTGACACAAAATATGTGTTGAAATTTCAACACAAATTTTGTGTAACCCCTTTTTAACACAAAGATTATGTTGAAATATCGCCACAAGAGGGCGCAAAGAATCATACACTTCTAAAGTGTCAATCTTAATACAAAATAAATGTTAAATAAATTTATTTATTTTCATCAACTGTTTGATGCCTATAACATAACTTATAAAATAATTTTTTTTTATTTCCTCAACTGCAGTAAATAATATTTATTTAAAAATGTTTTTTTTTATCATTTACATTTTAACGAAACATCAACAATTACCGACTATAAATAATTGGAAGGAAGAAAGTATGAAAAATTTTTAATAATTAAATCAAAAAATAATTTATAGGTTTTAAAAGTGAAGCAGCAGAGTTATAAATTTATGAAAATGAAGTTAACCGACATTTTAAAACTTTTAGAAATTTTTTATTGAAAAAATTTCAATTTAACAATTAAATGGAAAAAAAATGTCACATCTAAAAAACTTTAAAAACTAGAAGTGCAATTTTTTAGAAATATCTTTTTAGTTGTAATTTATTTAATAAAAAAAATTAAAAATTTTTAGATGTCTGCTAACTTCAGTGTCATATAATGTTAATTGTCTTTATTATTTAATATTTATTATATTTTCGTGAAAATATTTGCTGCGTAAAGTGAAGAATCGACGGGCTGTCAACACAAAGTTGATGTTATATTAATGACGAGTTTGACACAAAATTTGTGTTCATTGCCCAGTAACATACAAAATATATTAATAAAGAGTATATAACACATTTTTTATGTTACAAAAGAAAATGACACAAGCTTTGTGTTATTTTAACACACTACAATTTTTAACACAAACCGTTTTCGACACAAATACACAATATTTTTTACTGTGCATGTTTTCCTTTATACATGTAAATACCCACCATACATTTTCCCCATACCCAATTATCACCTCTCAAGAAAACGCCAAGACCCTCCCTGCCAAGATAACGAGGAACAGGTCCCAAACATCAATCTACATCTTTAAACATAAAAAACATACACCTATCCTTACCATCTTAATTACCCCCTGCCATGACTACACATCTGTAAACATTCGAGAAAACACATTTTCAACAAGTATATTAACAACTGTCAATCAAAAGACCCAGACATCCGTCCCGAACACTCCCGCTGAGGGGTAAGGAAAAGGTCTGGCGCCAGTGGCCGCGGAGTGGGGGTTTGTTGTGTCTCGCCCTCCGTGCCCCTTACTACTTCTAATGCTCTTTTTTTTTCAAAACAAATTTTTTTCTGGGTGTATCAATCAAAAAACCATATCTTTGATTAATTATCAATTTTGTGAGTTAAGTAAATAATTCCTCACCTCAAATATCTATGAAAATAGTAAGTAAAAATATTTAACTTGCGTCCTCTGGCCATCTTTTTAAGAAAGTTGTATGAACTCAAAAATCCAGTTATCACTAGAAACGTATTGACGGAATTTGGAATTAGAAGGATAAATACAGCATTCCAGGATTGGGTCCACTAGAATAAAATCAACGACGGCATGTTCGAATTGTTGAGTCAATGATTAGCGATGAATAATATATCTTACTGTTACGATGTCACGGAGATTAATAACACTGCCAGATAAAGTGTGATAGTAAAAGTGTGCTAACATGATCCAGCATACGCTGTAGAATCTGAGGCCTGAGATGACTCGAATATGGTTTTCAGAGACTTGTGTGTTTAGGATGTGTTGGCTGTTGGTGATTAACGAAAATTTGCAGAGCGAATGGAAGAACCCCCTATTGATGCTTGTAAAACGTGATAGTACATCGCAGAAAGTGCAGGTTAATAGAAAAGTCAGAAAAACTCCGAAAACACAGCTGGAAAAATTATCCAGTAATTAGTTTCTGATAATTTTATTATTATTGATTTTATAAAAATAACTCGAAGGACTTTTTTTTTAAATTAAGTTTTGGAAAATATAAAAAAAAAAATAAATTAATGAGGAATCCCTTTTCATAAATAATTTTGAATCAATTACTTCAAATTTTGTTCTGATATATTTAACAGCTTTCAAGTTATTTTTTTTCAAATTATCTTTACCATTATTGACTAATGAATTGTCTCATGTTTATTGAGTATTGATTTTACATGATTATCAGTCATTTCGAACCGATTATTGCTTTTAATAAAATGTTTGTACAAGTGCATACTTGCTTGATCAATCGTTACGTAATTTTCATAAAAAATTTAACGAGTACTCTCTTACAATTAGTTTAATTTTCTACAAAATTAGTCTGAGCAATAAATGTGTAAACAATTTTTAAATTAATAAAAAGTTCAGCGACCAATTGACCCGTTGAGTTCATTATGGGTCTAAATGACCCAAGGCAATTTTTGAGTTGCTCTTGCTTCGAAGATATCATTTAAAATGGTATCTATGGTACCATCTAATATTGATTGAAAATTTTTTGAGATTCATGGAAATTTACGATTTTAATTGCACAAATCAATATACTTTCTGAAAAGCTCGACATGGTACGACTTTTTTTTTTAAAGTATGCGATATCCGGAGTAGAACTCGTCAGGTCATGTTCATTTATCTTAAAAAATGAAGTTTTTAGTAAAAAAAATGTCAAATTTTTCGAAATTTGACTTTCTCGCATTTTTATTTATAATTAAACAATTAAAAAAAAAATTAAAAAATGATTGAATTATTTAACAGAAGTGTTAAGAATTACTCACTCTCATGTACGGCTCGAGTGAAAATATTAACAAGAACGCAAGTAGCAACAATTTTTTCCGTGCATATTAGGGTCAATTAGACCCAGTATAACCACTACGTTATTTTTAAGAAGTGAGACCTCAACGGGTTGAAAAAAAAATATTTACTTTAAATTTCGAAAATTGATTCGTTTCATTAAAGAACTTGAATAAAGTTAAAAAGAGTATTTTTTGTAATAATGAAAAATTTTTTCAAGATTTGTTCTATTTTTTTTATAAATTCCAATAATTTGAATCTGCGATGTGCACAGCAAAAAAATTAACTTGAATCAAGTAAATAATTTTGATGAATTTTATTTTTTTTTATTTGAGTAGAAAAATTCTTAAAATAATAAATTTTTCTTAGTTTTAGTAAATTTTACTTGATTCAAGAATTTTTCGTCTTGATTAAAAACAATGAAACTTTAAAAAATTATTTTCTTGGTTCAAGAATTTTTCACTTCATTCAACTTAATTTCTTTTTCTGTGTGAATTTTGAATAGTCATATCCTAAAAATAAAGATACTCACGCTGTAATAATAGCACCCAGGTCCCAATGATGATCATCGCTTCTGGAGCAGGTCGCGCCAATCACCTGAAGCTCATTTCCGTCCAGGAAGCCACTGGCTATGTCAATCAGTCTCTGTATCTTCTTCGTAACCTGTTCGGCTTCGCAGGTCGCGGGGACGCAGGCACTCAGAACAAGAGATACAGGCATCTTTGTGCCATTGATATTAACATCAAGTACATACATGCAGTGCTGTCCTCGTATTATCTCGTTTCCCACGGTGACGTTAACTGCGATGCATTGGTCGTACATCCCCAGGTCCTTGATGTTCCCTTGGATGAGACCTGAGGGAATTTTCGAGCTTGCATCGAGCACTAATAAATCAAAGTACTTATTATTGAGAGGCAATTATCAATAAATTACCTGCAAGTTTTTTCACAGGATCATACTTTTCAGCGCCCAACGCTCATACTTTTGCAGCGCGTTTTCAAAAATTTTCATTTGCCCATCGCACTTCGCTTCCCGAGAATTGTTCCTTGAAAGATAAATCTCGGGAATCTTCAACAGTTCAAAAGTATTGTTTCTCGCGAGATCACTGGTGTCTCGACATTTCAAAGAACGGAAGAGACAGAAAAGGATTAATAAAGTTAAATTTTTTGCTACTACACGCACTGACATTTTGTAATTATGTGACATCATCGTTGTTAAATGATTATTCATCAAACCTAGAATTATTCGTCAAAAGATAACATTCCGGTAACCATGTAAGTGTGATTAATTATAAGTTGGGATATTTGCATACTTCGCTGCTTTTAGTATAAACTTGAAATTTATTTTTTCTTTTTAAGTAATGGCAGTGTTTATATTCTGTTTAAATTTATATATATATATATATATATATATACTGGTTCTTTAAAAATTTTGATTTTTAAGTATTTTATTAATTAATTTTTTTTTATGTATTAATATATTTTTTTATGCATTAGTAGTTAATTTATAGCACCTTCATGTCTAGAGTATTTTAACTATAAAATTTTTTTTTGATCTTATTATTTGACTCCCTCTGTTAAAACATATTTATCGTAATTGTAAAACTTGAGTTATATATAATTCTATATTATTATATATGAATCATATATAATTGTGTATAATTATACATAGCTTTTTTTTTACCCGGATGATAACTTAAACAAATTTTTTTTTTTGAGAAAAGTTAATATAATGTAATATCCTAATTTAGCCGTAAAATTTTATTGAGTGATTAAAAATTCGGCAGTTGAGTGATGTCATTATATTAATAGGCTCATCTTAATAATAAAAAAAAAAAAAATCAGAAAACCCTCGGTAAAAAATCACTTTTTATTTATTATTTTCACTTTTTATTTAAATTATTATTTTTTTTCTTTTAAAAATTAATTATCCAATTTAATTTTTTTCTTGAATAATAAATGAGAATTATGAGGCGTGCACTTTTGGATTTTTCAAATTTATTATTAAAATTATTTCAGAATATTAATTAAATAGTATTAAATTCTTAAAATAAAACATGCTCAATAGATTACTCAAACTTTCCATTGAAACCGTTATCAGCAACTCCATTTTCAATAGTAATTTCTATTTTCTTCAACTTTTTAGATTTATTCCCCTTTACAACCGTTTCAGATTGATTTATCGTGGATTTATTAGCGAGAATCAATTTTTCAAGAACCAAGAATGGTGACTCAAACACAAGACTGAATACGAATCCGCCTAGGATGTAAATCACTAGTTCACCGAAAAATTGATGCATCTACAAAATCGATTGATTGTTGGTTAATTCAGTATTGAGAAAGCTAGGCTATTAAGGCTATTATAAAAAATCTTCACCATTTGTGCATCGTTAAAGTAAGTAGGAACTCTGGAAAAAGCTCTTTTAATCGTTTGAATTTCGTAGTGGATTAAGAAAATCGAGTATGACATCCTACTGAATGGGGTGTAGATCGGTAATGACAGAAATTTGGCTATAAATCCTGTAAAAATAGAATAGAAGTAATTAATCAATTTTGTCCCAACGAACAATTAAATAATCAATTAATCTAGTATAAAGTTTGAGAAAATTCTTTGAGAATTTTATAATAAATTTATCAAGCTTTAAAATGGTCCTTAAATTTTTTTAACTAAGACTGTTAGGAAAAATTATTTATTTTGGACAAAAGTTAAAATTTTTAATGATTAATCACCTAAAATTAAAATAATGTCATAACACTAAAGTTAGCCGACGTTTTTAACTTTTTGATTTTTTTAAATGTATTGAATTAGAACTAAAAAATATTTTTTAAAAATTGCACTTATAGGTAGTTTTTCAATTTTTTAACAAATGAAAATTTATTTTAAATGTATTTGTAATAATTTTTTCAATAAAAAAAATTCTTAAAATTTTTAGATTTCGGCTAACTTAATTTTTATAATAATGTCAATGATTTTTTGACATACATGTCCATAGTTATATGTTTCGATATATAACTATAGTTATATTATCGAAAAAATTTTAAAGATTAATTTTGTAGGAAATTTTTTAATCTAAAAAAAACGAGCCACTAATTTTTCCCCTCTCTTTAGTATTTTTGATAACCAGCCGAAATTTGTCACGATTCAAAAATTTCTTTTTACCTCCATGACCTAAGACAGATACATAGATAATCCAGCAGACTCCAAACGCCCAAATATGCTGTGACAATCCACCATAGAAGGTTTCCCAGTAAATATTCCAGCGGTAGTCTTCACTCTGGTAGATCCTTAACGTAAAAATCGAGAACACAAAAGCTGAAATGGTTAAAATCCACCCCACTTTCCTAACTCGAGGGGTGGGATTCTTCGATCGGCAGCCAGAAGATATCTTACCAGGACTCCCAGCAACCACGGACCGACATGTGTGTAAGTAACGAGGTAGAAATAAAGCATCATATCTACACGGAGAAAATTTTATAGTAGAGTTTATTATCTAGTTATGTTAAAATCTATTAACTGAATTCAATAGTAGTAAATATTATTTAAATAATTAAGTAAACTATTTGAATTGTAGTACTTACCATCCTGATGGTAACTACTACTATTATGATGGTAATCAGTAATAATAACTGTTATTATTTTAATTAGTTACTACTATTATCAAAATCGTAATTCCTAATATAACCTGATGGTTACAGTTACCATCAGTAATAATAGTAACTACTATCTAAGCTAGTAAAAAATATTAAAAAATTTAAGAATCTGCGTTACCCTGGATGCATTTCTGAATAAACGAAAAGCAGCTGTAGTGCACAAAAAATCGGGATTAAATTCGGATTGAAATTATATTTAAATTTTTATTTGTTTAAAACAAGTTTCAACGTCAAATTTTTGAAAAAAAATTTGAAATTTCCAAAAAAATCAAAATTTTCAATAAAATTCAAATTAAAAAATAAAAATAAAAATTTCAAAAAAAAAATTTTTTAATCTTCAAAAAAATCAAATTTTCAAAAAAAAATTTTGAAGGGAATTTAAAATATTTTAATATTACAAAGAAAAAAATGTACATTAGCTAAAATATGGATCTAAATAAAGGATTTAATTAAGTAAACATATTATTTTTTCTTTCAGAATTTTTACGATCTGAGATGATTACAGTTACCATCTTCGATTGTAACAGTTATAATTTATAATAATTACAATTATTATTTTTGATAGTAATCGTTACCATTATTAATAGTAACTATTACAATTGTCAATGATATCACCTATTATTTTGTTACTAATTAATTTTATTACCATTTTAGATAGTAGGAGTTACTATTTTTATATAGTAGGTAGTATAATTAATTTTTCTCCGTGTAACTTTCTTTCTAAACTTAAAAAAAAAGATCTGTTAATCGTCTGAAGATGTATGATTGATAATTATACACTTACTCACCAGCAAGTGTCCAAGCGATAGTGAACTTATTTACTGCCACTACGACAGCTGGTGTGATTATCGACGTAATAATTGCGGCGAAGAGAATACTCAATCCCAGCTTAGGCTTCTTGTAGAGCGGATAAAATATTAATGGACTTATCCAAAACAATTGCATGTCCATTGCCAGGTACCAAGTGTGACCCAAACACCCCTAAAATAATTTTAAAAAAAATTTGGATTTCTACAATGGGTGATACAATAGTTTATTCGAAGGGTAGAAGTATTTTGCGAATAATGAATTTAGATAATTTCAGTTCTATAACTTCTAATTTATTTTTAAATTAATTATATGAAGATTAGAAAATCCAAAAGTGCACGACTCATTATGATCATTTAATCATGAAATAATAATGAAATAAAAAACTTGAAAAAGAATCTACAATAGCTGATATAGGACGATAATGCTTAGGTGCCTTTAGTGAGATAAATCTACATAATATATCGCACTTCGCTTCCCGAGAATTGTTCCTTGAAAGATAAATCTCGGGAACTTTCAACGGTTCAAAAGTATTGTTTCTCGCGGGATCACTGGTGTCTCGACATTTCAAAGAACCCTTGTAGGAAAAAAATTATATACAACGGGGCCTGTCTTGGCACAGTACTGGGTTGCCCAGACTCGGCCGAACAATACTGGCCCACGAGTTATTTGGTGAGACTTTCGTCTGCCTCCTTTCGAACAGGCCGTTTCCTGGGCTTAAAAAAGCTATACACGCACTTAAAATAAAACCCAAATCTCACCAAAACAAAAGCACTGTCAACTCGCCGGGCAAGGAAAAACCCTGCCCTCCAGCTTTTACGCTATCACTGGACAGAATGTGAATGGAGTTGTATTTAATTTAATGTCAATCTGTCCTCGTAATTGTTCACTGTATCAAACCTCCCCTATACAACTCCATTCAACGACTACATGGGCCTGGCCGGTAATATAATGACAATCCGACCAGTTGCCCAGCGGGGCCCATGCGGGGAGGTAGAGCCGTAAGGCCTGTTGAGCTATAATAATAATATTTAGTTATCCCTGTATGTCTCGTTCATTTGTTACTTGTCTACCGTCATCCCCATAATCATTGAGCATACCTGCGTTGCCAAATGCTTTGACAACGTCACGAGGCCTTACTCATGACATTCCGGCTACGTCGAGCAGAAAAATAGTATACACACCTTGGCCAGTAAAAAGTAAAGCCTCAGACCACATGTTTGTCAACCTCAACTTCGCCTCGGCCAACAATTACATGTGGTCTGAGACTTTTCTTATTTTACTGGCCTAGGTATGTAATATACTATTTACGTAAAATTTTTTACTGTGTAATTTTTTTAAAAAAAATTTTTGAGAAATAGTTGAGAAAACTTGAAGAAAACTTGGGAATAGTTTGAAACTTTGTGGAATAATTCAAGATTTTTGGTTCAGATAGTTTAAAATTGTTAGATTTATTTATTGATTTTGAAGTTTAGTGATGACACTAAAGTTAGCAGACGTCTAAAAATTTTTGATTTTTTTTATTAATTAAATTACAACTAAAAAATATTTCTAAAAAATTGCACTTATAGTTTTTCAAGTTTTTTAAATGGAGTTGTATTTAATTTAATGTCAATCTGTCCTCGTAATTGTTCACTGTATCAAACTTCCCCTGTACAACTCCATTCAACGACTACGTTGGCCTGGCCGGTAATATAATGACAATCCGACCAGTTGCCCAGCGGGGCCCATGCGGGGAGGTGTAGCCGTAAGGCCTGTTGAGCTATAACATTTATTTAGTTATCCCTGTATGTGTCTCGTTCGTTTGTTACTTGTCTACCGTCATCCCCATAATCTTTGAGCATACCTGCGTTGCCAAATGCTTTGACAACGTCACAAGGCCTTACTCATGAATACTGGCCCACGACTGGACCACTACTCAGCTGACAAGTCTTGGTTTGCCAGTCTTGGACCAAGACCCAGCCAATAATGAACTGACAAGCCTTGGTTTGCCAGTCTTAAACCAAGACCCAGCCAATATTTAACTGACAAGCCTTGGTTTGCCAGTCTTGAGTCAAGACCCAGCCAATATTCAAGTGACAAGTCTTGGTTTACTACTCTTGGACCAAGACCCAGCCAATGTCTATGTAACGAGTCTTGGTTTGCCAGCCTTGATTCAAGAGTTAACCAATATTTAATTAACAAGGCTTCACAGAAAAAAAAAAGTTAACTTGAATCAAGTGAAAAATTCTTGAACCAAAAGAAAATAATGTTGAAAAGTTTTATTGTTTTAAATCAAGACGAAAAATTCTTTAATCAAGTTGAAATTATTTAAACCAAGAAAAATTTCTTGGTTTAAGAATTTTTTTACTTAAATCAAGGAGATGAAGTTCTTCAAAATTATTTACTTGATTCTCATTAATTGTTTTTTCTGTGTTGGCTTATTATCCTTGGCCCAAGGCCCAGCCAATATTCAACTGATGTCTTGGTTTGCCAGTGTTGAACCAAGACCCAGCCACTATTGACATTTTTAAAACTGTAAATTTTACAGTTTTTCTGTCATTTTATTGTTTTGTTTTTTTCTATGTAGTATATACTTAAAAAAAATTTGAAATCCGTTTCTGCTTCAACTATAGTGTCTATGCACTAAAAAAACAATTTTTTTCCACCTAGAATATTAAATTTTTTACTCGAATTTTTTTGATTTAAAAAAGCTGGCATGGGCCAGACTTGAATAGTAACTGTGGCCCAGTCCTGGTAACCAGGCATGGATCAGACTCGAAAATCGGTATTGACCCAATACTAAAATTCAGTCTTGGCACAATGCTTATTTTCAGTTTTGGCACAATACTTATTTTCAGTCTTGGCACAATACTTATTTTCAGTCTTGGCGCAATACTTATTTTCAGTCTTGGCACAGTACTGATATTCAGTCTTCGCAGGAAGTTATCATTTGTATGCTTAGACGGACTTGGGCTAAGCTTGGATTTCAAGATTGCCCCAGAGTTAATGAGCATTGCGCCAAGCCTTGGCCAAGCTCGGGCCGATTGTTCTTTCCTCTAAGGGAACGGAAGAGACAGAAAAGGATTAATAAAGTTAAATTTTTCGCTACCACACGCACTGACATATTGTAATAATGTGACTTATCATCGTTGCTAAATGATTATTTATCAAACCAAGAATTATTTGTGAAAAGATAACATTTCGGTCATGTAAGTGTGATTTTAATTAATCAATTATAAGTTGGGATGTTATCACACTTCGCTGCTTTTGGTATGAACAACCTTGCAATTTTTTTTTAAATTAATGACAGTGTTTATATTCTTTTGAAATATATATAGGGTAAAAGACCCCATTAGTGGCGGGGACCCCATTACTGACACTTTCTTTGATTTTGGTAGTTATTCAATTAATTAAATCATTAATTTCAATAATAAATATATTATTTATAATCTTTAAAACCTTTTGATCAAAAAAATTTTTAATTTTTATTCCAAGTAAAACATTTTTTCATTGAAAGAAAAAGTGCCACTAATGGGGTCTTTTACTTTATTCTAGTTCTTTAAAAATTTCGATTTTTAGGTATTTAAAATTTTTTTTTTTTTGTATTAATTTATTTTTTTTTATGCATTAGTAAGATAACGTACCCAATAGTTTAATGTATATCAAAGTAAAACGTATCCAAACAAAAACAGTTTCACTGTAAAAAAATCGCGCCAAGTCCACATTCATAAGACTATTAAGAAAAAAAAATTAGTTTTTTTCTTTACAAAAAGATATAAAATAAAAAAATTAAAAAATCCAAGTAACCGATATGATTGTTTATGATTTTCGGAAATTAAAAAAAATTTTGTTGTAAATTTAAAAATTAAAAAAACAATTTTGGAACGTATTTAGTGTGCGCGGTTGCAAAATATTTTACTTTTAACTAAATTCGAAAAATCTATTTACTAGGACTTTAAAAAAATTGAAATACACAATATGACACACACCAAGTACGTTCCAAAATGTATATACTTTTGTTGCTATATAAGTTTATTTCTAATGTATATATAACTCAAATTTGTGACAAATATAACAAATTAATAGCAAAGATTAGCATGGCCCCTGCGCAAGGATGACACGCAATAAAATCGTGAAGCGTTCCACATTTTTAACAAATATAAATAATGCTGTGAAGCGGGAAAGAATAGGAGTTACGGATAATTATTACGTGAAGCGTTCCAACATTTACGTAACAGGATAATTGGTAGGAAAGGATTGAGAAAGGATTGTGGAGAGGATCATCTTAATGTGAGTGTATAGAATATGCGAGAAAAAATTATTAAATAGCTCGGACTGGGATTCGAACCCAGAACCTTCCGAAGACATGTCAGCTACTCTACCATTTGAGCTATCCGGTCTATACTAAATTTCCTTTCACTTATTCCATCTTACGGCTAGCATTTTTAACAAATATAAATAATGCTGTGAAGCGGGAAAGAAGGTATATACCTTTATTGTTAAAACATATTTATCGTAATTGTAAAACTTGGACGGTAATGAGAGGCGCATTTTTTTTTTTAATATACAACTTAATCCTGTCAGGGCCTATTTTAATTCCTTCTTAGGAATACTTAATTTTTAAGCATCTGTATTTAATTGCTTTATTACCTTGTTAAACAAATATTTTGGCAGATGTTCACTTGAACTTACTTTTTCTTTCTAATTGCGATCTTATTTTTTTATTTTTTATTTTAATTTTTTATATTTTCAGTAAAAAATTTTTTAATTAACAATAACATCATATGACATTATAAAAAATAGTTATAGAAGAAGTTAAAATAAAGTGATGAAATTTATCATTTAATTATTATTGAACTCATTAAATTTCGTCTTCACATTACAGCTTTAATCAGTTTTATTTTTGAAAACCAATTACCCGTCAGTGACCACGTAACTTGAGGTAATGACCGTTAAACTCTTTCAATAACATTTTTAAACGTCAGTAATAAGAGTGTCATTGCACTGTCACAAAGTAACCAACATGTTATCCACCAGTGTCAACGTTTTCTTGGTATTCTTGCTTCTACCTGCGATAATCGAGGCTTCAAATGAAATTCAGGCGAGAATAGAACTTCCAAAAGACAGTCCAGATGTTCAGTACTTCGCTGGAGAAGGTGCAAAAATTTACAAAAAAAATCTGACACGAAGTAGATTTGCCGTTGATGAAATATTCGATTCAATGGTTGAAATTATGAGTGACGGCCGTCAATACGTTATTTATGCTACACTTAGACGCTGTTCTCTACCAGACAATCAGGCTTGTGATGAGAAAAAAGGAAGAAGGTACTACTGTGCAATTAATGTTGCGACAGAAGATATTGAACCGATCAAAGTTAAATGTCTCAAAAATATGGATTTATATTTTTACTCTAAATTGTATTTACGTGAAAATCAGATGCCTATTGGTGATTATTATTATTTCAAGAGTTGGAAAAAATAAATTATAATGTGATATTGTTTGTTAAATATTTATTTATTTTTGACTGAAATGATTAAAGTTAAATAATTTTGTAAAAAGTTATCTTTATTTTATTTATCCTTTTTTTCCAAAGATTACATTATATGATATAACGTGGCGCTTCATATAAAAAACTAAAAATTACAGTTTTAGATTGTAATTTTTACCGATTTTGTAAGAATTACATTGTAAAATTTAAATGTTACATTTAAAAATATAAAAATTAATATTAAAAGTTTGAATTCTAAAATTATTATTCTGAATTGCAATTTTTTTAGTTTTTAATTTGAAGCGAAATTTATTCCTATTTATAATGTAATTTTTTCCTCTTTTTTTCCGTGTATGTTACACTCAAATACATTAACATTTCTTCTTTCAGTCACACTTCACAGCGCAATCGCTAGAACTATAGCGTCATAGGTAGAGAATGCGAATTTTTAATCTTCTATATTATAACTTGAAAAAAAAATATATTTTCTAAAAAATTTTAATTTTTAAAACTTTCAAAGACATATGTTTGTTAATTAAAATACAACATGACAATTATTCTTCTCACTTTCATTTTTTTTTATTCTTTGATCTTTATTCGTAAGGAGACCCCGGTGGTCTAGCGGCCTAAAATTTAAGCTATTTTGAAAATTTTATTTTTATATAAAGGTAATTACTAATGCTTTCAAATTTTTTCTACACTAATTCTATTACTCATCAACTACACAAAAATGAAAATTAAAACAAAAAAAAAAATTTTTTTTAAATTAGAAAAATGGCCCTCACTGGTGGGGTGTGATTGATCTCTCCCTCTGATCTGAAATAAAAAAAATGACGGATTTTCAATTAGTATAAGATTAATTATCGTAGGAAGTAGAATGAAAAAAAAAAATATTTGACGAAATGGCACATAGTAAAAAGTACGAATCTGAAACTCGTTTTCAGTCCCCTAAATGTCTAAGATGTCAATGAATTTGGATTAGCATAAATTTTATAATATAAATATTTTATTTTAATCTACTGAAATTTTGAGAAAGATTAAGGATAATAAAACTCATTAATATTTCTAAGAATTAATAATTTTATCAGGATAAAGTGCAGATTTTTATAATTGATAATTATGATACGAATGCAGGTTATTCTAGTTTCTTAAATTTTTCTTTTTTATCTTCCAATTAATTCCTTAAAACTTGTCACTATATCATTAGTGATAATAATAATAATATATTTGATTCAATTTACTTATAGCTATTTAAATTATACATCATACATAAAATAATGCTTTTTTATATACACAGAAAAAAAAATTAACCTGAATCAAGTAAATAGTTTTCAAGAACTTCATTTTTTTGATTTGAGTAAAAAATATTCTTAAACTAAGAAATTTTTTTTGGTACAAGTAATTTTTACTTGACTCAATTCTTAAGAATTTTTCGTCTTGATTCAAGACAATGAAACTTTTCAAAACTATTTTCTTGGTTCAAGAATTTTTCTCTTGATTTAGTTTATTTTTTTTATGTGTACATTATCACATAGTTAATTAATATCACATTTTATCTTATACATTTATGATGTATCGAATTTTGTCGGTATAACCATAATATTAAATTTGATAAAGCTTCTAAGTAGCATTTTAAATACAATCTCGTGAAAAAATATTCTGATCAGACCTGATATGGCCTGATATGGAAATTGGCCATATTAGACTTAATATGGCCATATTAAGATGTAGACAACCCAGAAGGAGAAATAAAATTTATCATTTCTGATTTTATTTTGTGTTTTAAAAATATTTATAACACTAATTCGTAGTTAATATAAAATTTATTTTAGTATTTTTAGTTGTTTGTCCAACTTTATTCAAAAACAGGTAAACTCTGTAATAGACTAAAAAAATTCTACTCTTTTTGGAACTTAACACTTCAAAGCCAAGTATCTAGAAAAGAACAATTCCGCGACCATGCGCCATCTACCGAAGACTTTTAATCCTAGTTTCGACAGTGCGGAACATGTGATTGCTCCATGGTGGTCTTAGGAACTAACTAATATGTTGTCAGATTTATAATATTTCATTGATTATTTTAATTTTTTCCAAAATTTTCAAATACTTTTAATAATTCATCAATAAATAACTGAAAATTAAATTTCACTTTTTATAAATTTTAAACCAGATAAAAAACGGTAGCCGATTGGTTCTACGACAACAGTAATTTTTTTTTTTAAAGTTTCTTAAAAATGTTGTATATCAAACCAGATCAAGCCATATCGAGCCTGACAAAGCTTTATCAGGCCTGATATGGCCAATTTGCATATCAGGTCATATCAGGTTATATCAGGACCTATCAAAAATTATACATGGACATATCAGATCATATCAGGCCTGATATGATTATTTCAAAAATTTTGATATGGCCATATCAGGACATATCAAGTCTGATCAGAATATTTTTTCACGGGATTATATGATTCTCATTGTTTAATTCATTGGTTAAGTTATTAAACCACTTATAACCTTTATAAACAATTGTTTTCTCTATAGTATATAAGTACGCGTATGCACTATTTTTAATAAACCTTCATTTCTTGTATTATAATGACTATTATGAAACCTAATTTCATCATTTAAATAGTTAGTCATTACCTAACTGTGAATAGTAATTGTTATACTAATTGTTAAGAATAGCTGACAATTTTTGTATTAAAAATTGTATAAGATTAAATTTCATAATCCATTTTTTCTGTCCGATAATAAAAATGTAATAATTATAATTTTTATCAGTATTACTTGAAAGTTTATTGCCATGTTAGTTATTTCTGTGTTAAAAACACATTATTTAAGTGGATTATTTTTTATCTAAAAATTAACTAGTTACGTTATATTCTTCACATTAATAACAATGTCTCAATCATAATTAAACCGATCCAATTAATGAATTAATCGTAGTTGGAGAAGCCAGTTATATCATTTTTTAATTGATTTTTATTTTTTAATTTGGTAGAAATAATTTAGCAATTAACGAAGAAAAAAAACTAAAAATAAAATAATTGCTTCGTTCAGAGGAAAAAAAGATCCTAATTTGAATGTATTCATTTTTTTTGCGCATGCAATTGCGCAAGGAGGAACAGGACAGTTCAATGTCGAAAAGATGAGGTATGGAGACTATACACTGTGTATAGTCATCCATAAGATGAGGGAATGGTGGCTACACGGAATGATCTTGGAATGAGTCGGTCAATATCGAAAGATTTAACTGTACAGGTAGGCTGAGTAGTCACGTGGGAAAAGACCATTGCTTTACAGAGTTTATTTTTTAATATTTAATAATAAAAGTAATAATTATTAGTAACAATTTTGTTAAATAATGAAAGAAAAATGGAATGTGTTAGTGACTGGAGGTGCTGGGTATATCGGCTCTCATACTGTATTAGAATTAGTTAAGCAGGATTTTACAGTGGTGGTCATTGATAATCTTGGAAATGCTTACAAAGGTGAGGAATTTATAGTTTTTATGTTTTTATAAAATTTTATACAATAATAATAATAAAAATTAAAAAAAAATTTTTTTTAATCATAATAATTGAGAAAAAATTTTTTTTTTTAAATAATAATAATTATTATATTGTCGCATTTGTCTTGTAATATTTACAAAGCAAAATTTTATAAATTATTCACATCATTGCATACAATTTTTCGTAATATGTTTAATTTACTTTTATTTATATACAACTCATTTTAATATAAATGAAATTCGATTTTCATGCGCTTTTTCAATAATCTTCGATAAAATACATATTTTTTTTTATGTCCGTATATTATTTTTTGGGTCATTGCGCTATTAAAGAAATTGATTTATTATTTCATTAATTTACAAATTTAATATACATACATTTAGTAAGATAGTACAATGTATTCGATCGTATATTATTTTATTAATTAAAATGCTTTAATTTAAAACGAAAATTTGAGTAATAGATATTTAGTTATCATATATAAGAATCCTATTTATTTTTAACGGTTAATTTAATGTCTTTATTTACAGATCCGAACGCCAGTAAACCAGAATGTATTTTACGTATAGAAAAACTTTCCAATAAAACAGTTATATTTGAAGAATGTGATATTACAGATATAGGTGCTTTAAAAAAATTATTTAAAAAGGTAAATAATTTTGCAAAGATAATTTTATTTAGATTTATTAGTAGTTTTATAAATAAATTTATTATAATTATTTCAGTACAAATTTCAATGTGTCACTCATTTTGCTGCTTTGAAAGCGGTCGGTGAATCATGTCAAAAACCTTTAGAATATTACAAAACAAATGTCGGAGGTACTCTTAATTTGTTGCAAGTAATGAAAGAGTACAATGTCAAAAATCTAATTTTCTCAAGCAGTGCAACTGTTTATGGTATACCAGAAAAGTTACCTCAAACTGAAGAAATGGTAACTGGTAACTGCACTAATCCTTACGGAAAAACAAAATTTATGGTAGAAGAATTTTTAAAAGATTTATGTACAGCTGATAAATCGTGGTCAGTAATATCTTTAAGGTATTTTAATCCCGTTGGCGCACACCCATCTGGTGAAATTGGAGAGGATCCGAATGGAATTCCTAATAATTTAATGCCATTTATTGCTCAAGTTGCTGTTGGTAAACGAGATGTATTATATGTTTACGGTGATGATCATGAAACACACGATGGTACAGGTTGGTAAAATATTATTATTCATTAAAAAAAAAAAAAACAATAACAATAATAATTGATTATATTTAAATATTGCACGCCTCATGAACCAAGCGGTTTTTTTTAAATTTCTCAAAATCTATCGGGTTAAATCGATTCAAATTTTCAGGAAATCTAAATTAAGTGGAACCCTTTTGATTGCCGTCAACCATTTTTTGATCAGTCGAGCCGTTTGAAAGTTACACAGAAAAAAAATTTACTTGAATCAAAATAGTAATTTATGTCCTATGGCCGCAAAGTGGCGATTTTCTGACAACGACGATGTTGCGATATGAGCTTAAGGTTTGTGGCGGGAATCTACGAAAACAGGCGTAATTTTAACGTTCGAGGCGAATCCGAGGACGGAAATTTACGCTCGTTTTCGTACATTCGCGTCACTAACTTTAAAGCGAATATCGTAAAATCGTCGTTGTTAAAATCACCACTTAGTGGCCAAATGACAGACAATATTTTTTGTTATTATCGCCCCATAAGTTTAACTTTTGAGAGATAGGAGGCAAATAATGACATATTCAAATTTTATGAAGTTTCACAAGGGCAAAAAAACTCAAATAGTAACTAAATTTAAATTTACTCAAAATCATCGGTCAGTACACTAGAATTTGATTTATTTTGTTCCAAATTTCATCTGATTGCATAAGGACAGTACGGAAAAAAAGGGGGAAGTAAGCTTTGCGGCATAGGCTGCGTAAAAAAGACGGTATGATAGAGTCTCTAGAAATGAGTATCTATTCGGACGCCACTCAGCGCTCAAAAGTTGAACTTTTGGAGCGAATATAACAAAAAAATAATTTTGGAGAATTTCACTTTCTTTATTCCAGCAGAAAAATTGTTAAACTAAGAACTTTTTCTTGGTTTAGGTATATTTTACTTGATTCAAGAATTTTTCGTCTTGATCCAAGACAATAAAACTCTTCAAAATTACTTTCTTGATTCAAGTTAATTTATTTTTCTGTGTATATAAGGCTTGCACACAAATTCATCAGAATAGCTTCGTGACCTCAAAACGTCGAAATCTGATAAAAACTCGATTTTTGAAAATCGGGGTAAACCAATTAATGATTTCCCTATTTTTTTTTTCATTTTCAATTTTCTTAGAAGGAAGTTAAAAATGAACTTAATCCAAGAGAGAACTCCGAAAAAAATCAGTAGTTTCTACCGAAAAAATCGGTTGCCTCAACCAAAAAATAATCGGTAGACAATACTAATCATTTTTATCCGTGTGGTGATGACCTGCAGCGTTTACTGTTTTATTATTTTTACATTAATTTTATACCCTCTGCAAAGGCTAAAATTTTTGAAGGATTCGTGATGTAGAGTTAATGAAAAGATGTAATTGTTCAGAGAAATAAAAAAAATGTTTATTGATTCACTTCAATACAAAAATCTGCCTCTAAAAATATCATCATAAAGAACATTAGAAAAACACAATTTTTTATGAATGCATATGCAAAATAACATGAGCTATAGCCATAACTGCAGGGTGCGGATGTTGCTGGAGGGCCGTAATAATCTCAAGAAATCGTTTTATTTCGAAACGAGGGCTCATCAAGTACAAAAACTCTGCTGCAAAAATGGTCGTCTCGTTATTGTTAAAGTCTATCAAGCTTTGAACTAGATCCAGTTGATACTGAGGTGAGCAGGAGAAAATTAAACTGATTAACTGGTCAGACAAGCACGATGCAATCATCGACATCAGAGTAATCGAGAAAATTTCAATTAGTTTCGGCAAGATTAAGCTAACTTTCGAAGCGAGTTCTTGCGGGGAAATAGGATCTTGTAAAAAAGAGCTGAAAGTCAGTCGTAAAAAAGACTCTGGATCTTGCTGAGGCTTCAACACGGTATTGAATATATTAAGTAAAACATTTATCAGCCTCGCTCTTAGAGGATTAGGAAAAAAATGTAGTGTAACATTGGAAATCGCGTTTTGGACAAAATAATTCACTGGATAGAAGCATGGATCGTTTGGATAGGAAGTGCTCCAACTTTCGGAGACTATTTTTCTAAAAATTTCCTCAAAACGGACCAGCCTTCCTTCTAGTTTTTCTTCTGCATTGCCAATGTATATATTGAGAAGATAGTCAAATCCTGCTTTAAGTATATCTTTTGGCAACGACACATCGAGGACGAAGTTATCAATAATTTCTTCATGAATTTCTTCAGCAGACAGCGTGGTGACATGTCCATTGACCTGCTCCAGAAGCTTCTTGATGTAAGACCAGACATCCATACCCTCACCTCCGATCCTATGGTACACTTTGATCAACAATTTGACATATTCTGAGATACATTCGTTAGGGATAGCTTCAAGTTCTGGGACTTGCTTCAAAATGTCTTTATCTTTTGACTTTAAGCTGTCGACACATTCCTTAACTAGTCTCCAAGTTTCATCATTAGGATTTTCTTCGAAAACCTTCCGCGCAAATTTAAACACCAGCGTTCTGATTGTCATGTGTGTTTTGGTTCTCCAAAAATTGATCAAAAACTCACGAATTTCTTGAACACTACTGACTAAGAAAAACAATCTAATCCCATGTTTCTTCACAGATATTGGTCGGTTCGTAAGCTTCCTTGCAAAAGAAATCACCCCAGCCGCCGATGTTCGGCGAGCTACATTGAAAAGGCAGTGGGTTATCATATGAATATGATCACCTTTGCAGTACTCTGCAATAAAATCTAATGAAACTGGTGGCTTGACGATATTAAAAGCTCTCACGGTGGTTTTCTCCAAACTGTAATTTTCTTTAGCTTCTTTTTGCTTGAAATTTATCACATCAGACGTAGGGAGAAAAGGTGTGATTAGTTTTTCCAGCACTGGCCCTTCGAACAGTAACGCCAAAATGATCAACGCCAAGTCATTCTTGTTTTTTAGGTCATCGAGACACTTTTCAGCGATTTTAATAGGCAGATCTTGGTACCAGCGTGCAGAAATCACGAATCTGTGGACACTTTTTTCCTTATAGTAAAAGTACATGTACTTCAGATACAGTTCCCAGTTCTGGGAAAACCTTTCTGGGTTGTTTTTGAGAACTTTCAGAGCTTTTGGATCACGTAAATCTATCGGATCTTTGTCTAGAATTGATTTTCTAACTGAAATATTGTCTTGATGTTCTACAAATTTTCGAATGAAGTTCACGTGGTAATTATTATACTCACTAGCATGATTCTCCAATGCATTATTCATTTGCTTGGCAATCCACGGGTAATTTTTAATTAACATAATTTCCAGAGGACAATTAGCCTTCAAATTACGATTGTTGAAATCTTCAATCGCTGCCGCGATTGTTTTTACCAAAATAAGTTTCGGATTCTCTCTGTCACTGAACTTAGAAGATAAAACTTCGAAAATATCTTCTAAAAATTTCCTCTTAAGCACAAGGCTATGTAAGACGTAGTCTTAATTATACAACAATAAATATTTAATCCAAGAAAATAAATAATCAGTTTAAAAATATGACGACAGAGGTCTTAATAATCTGCCGACATAATATTTATTTATTTATTTCTTTGAGATAGAGCTAACAGCCAAGGGCCAGTAACAAGGTCACTTAATATTACATCAGATAAATCATTTATAAATTTTTACATTATAATAAATAAATTTAACGTTACAAAATAGTTTTAACAGTTAAATACAATGATTTTTGATTTAATTAATAATCATTTTGTAGCTACCATTACTTGGGAAACAGCGGCAAAAGGCCATTTATTAATACTAAATTCAATTTGCTTTGCAATTAGTAACTTATATTAAATAATTTTAGCAATTAAGTTAATATATTGAAGAAGAATTAAGAGAATGAAAAAGTCAAAACGTCAAGGGATTATTCTATGTCATTTGATCTCAAAGATAATAAAATAGACGCGAGTACATTGAATGTCAAAGGTTGATTAAACCCCAGAATATCTAATGCTGTTCTGTCATTATTACATATGTAATTACATAGGAACATCAACCTGAATAGTGGAGAGTTCATAGCAAGATTCGAACGGACTGGAGGAAGGTAAAACGGAGGATAGACCTCGTGTCAACTTGAGGAACTGCTATTGTGAGCTGTTGCAAAAATCCCGGGCATTCTTTATTACAATTGTATAGGCCCCTAATAAAAAGTACTGAGGCACAGATTCTTCTCTCTTCAAGAGTAAGTAATCCAGCATCAGAGCAGAGAGCGTGATAGTCAGTTCCCCTTTCAGGATATACTCCGTACTTTTTATAATCAAGGTAATTTAGGAACTTACGTTGGACCTTTTCAAGTTCGAACTTGTACTTAGCATATGAGGGAGACCAGACCACTGCAGCACATTCAAGTTTAGGGCGCACTAGTGCAGTATAGAGTGTTAGGATGGCTTTAAGATTCTTGAATTTTTTAGATACTCTGATGACAAATTCTAGTGTTCTCATTGCCGAAATTACTATATTTTTGATAAGAGGGGTGAATGATAATTTCGCATCAAATGTTACCCCAAGATCTTTACACGTACTAACTCTGTTTAATATCTCGCCCTCAATCTTATAAGGATAATAAATAATATTATTAGACCTATTATAAGATATAACACAGCATTTAGAGGCATTGAGTGCTAATTTATTATCTTTACACCAGATTGAAAAAACATCAATGTTGTTCTGCAGAAATTGACAATCTAAATTTGATTTAATAGCCATATAGAATTTGGTATCATCAGCAAACAATTCAAGAAAAATAGGCAGAATGTCACCAGCCTGGTTAATAAATATTATAAATAACAAAAGTCCAAGATTTGAACCTTGTGGAACACAATATTGGTCACTTTCGAGGATTTATAAATAAATTTTGAGCTCGAAGAGCTCAAAAACGTAATTTTCGTGTCATTTTAAGCGCTTAAGTATATGGAATTTGTGGGAAGCTGCAGGGATGGCTTTTATAGGGTCAACTGTTTTCCTAATTTTTTTTTATACGCTTCAGTATTATTCAAAACTAAGTCCTTTCGAATATCACGGTCTAATTCAATGTAGTTTAATGATAATTAGCAATAAACTAAAATCCACTTATCGTTCGTATATCTATATATATGTAAATAAGGTTCGTTTACAACACATGCGCAGTACCTTTCTTTTCTGGGTAGACAATGGCGTGAGAGATTTAAAAGTATTTGTATTTTATTATAATCAATTTTATTATGGAAAATTAGATTATGAGGCATGCACTTATGGATTTTCCAAACTTTTTTATTAATTTTATTATGTTACTCTCGTATACAGGTGTTAGAGATTACATACACATAATGGATTTGGCTATTGGTCATGTAAAAGCAATCACTTACCAAAGTTCTCGAGATGTCAAAGGTTTCAATCCTGTAAATTTAGGTACTGGACGAGGCTATTCAGTTTTAGAAATGATTAAAGCATTCGAGAAAGCTTCTGGAAAAAATCTCAATTATAAAATCGTTAAAAGACGACCTGGAGATATATCGTCTAGTTATGCCGATGCTTCATTGGCGCAAAAAGAATTTGACTGGGTTGCTACAAAAAATATTGATGACATGTGTAAGTTTGAACATTTTTATGATATGAATATTAGAAAATTTATATATCTAGTAAAATAATTTTTATTTTTATTAGGCGCTGACACGTGGAATTGGCAAAAAAAAAATCCTAATGGATATAAGAAGTTAAATGAAAATTAACTGCTGTCAATAAAAGTGGCTGCCAAATAAAAAAAACCAAATTTTACTAATGTGCAAGTGTATTTTATGAAAATAAAAAATTTAATTATGCTTTTCATATTAAACGATTAAATTTGTGAGATTTGTTAATATCTAAAATTTTTTTTTCTTGTTTTATTCCATAAATATTTGCAATATTTCTTATAAATAATTTGTCATTATGAAAAATTTTGAAGAAGGGGAAAAGATTTAATAACTGTAAACTGAATTTGTGTTCAAAAATATATTCCACTAATCAATAATATTTTTATGTTATCATCCTAAAATTTACAGTGAAAAAAAATTCGCGGGAACAAAAATTTATCGATTATTTACTTTACCAAAACGATAATATTACATGTGTTCTTATTTACAAAATTAATAATGACATCACTGAAATAACATAACGTTTCATTATTAAGTTTTTTTTTTTTTATTGCAACGATTTTCGAGTCCGGCGTACACCAATGAATATTTTCAATATTTAAGTGTATTATTCTGCTCAGCCCAAGAAATAAAACGAGTTCCAATCTCAAAAGTTTACCCCCTACCGTAATCGCTCATGACCTTAGTAGTTTATGCGACTTTAAACAAAATAAGAAAAAAAAAAAAAGATGTTAGGAATAATAACTCGAATTAACACTTTCATTCCAAGTATCGACTTTTGTAAACGTTATTTCTCTTTATTAAAAAGATAAGGTATTAAAAAATACGTAAAAAAATTATATAAAATTTTGACAACTGTGTTTAAATATATCAAACTAATTATTTTTCTTTTTTTTTGTGAAAAGAATACATAAAAATTCTTTTAATCACATTTAAAAAATTTAATTTTTCAATACAAAAATATTCTGACAATATGCAACGACTGTCAGCACAGTTGTTAACAATTTTAACTTTCTGCGTATTAGTTAAATCTCAGAATATTAATTTCAATAGCGGACGAAGATTTTCAAGGTAATTATATTTTTTAATTTATTTATTCTTTAATATATTGTTAATCAATTTTTGTGTCATATATTCTAGCAATTTGGAGCAAACATTTAATAAGCAAGCGTTAGGATTTTCAAATGATCGAAAAATAGAAATTCATCCATTAACATATAGAACATTGAAAGGTGCCTTGTCTATCATTAAAGAAGTTTTTTTTGCCGATGAAAGCTTCAGCAAAGGTTGTAGTGTATCTTATGATCCTGGAGCCGCTGAAGAACTCGAGTCGTTATGCACTATTGTCGCTGCTGATGGGCTTAGTGTCGTTGCAATTGATGTTAATACAAGGGAAGTCGTCGGTGTTGTTTTAAATAAAATATTTGTAAGTAAAGTATGCATTGAAAAAAATTACTTGACCGAAAAAAAAAATTTAATTTTTAAAAATCAATTAAATTTTTTTAAATCAAATTTTTTTTTAATTAATTTACAAAAAATTTTTTTTTTAATTTAATTTTTAAAAACTTTTTTTTTTAAATTAAATTTTTTAGAAATTATTTTACTTACCGAGAAACAGTTAAAATTAATTTTTTAGTTCGATAATTTTTTTATTTTTATTAAAGACACGATCTAAAAATAAAAAAAGCGGCCTTGAAGTATTTGGTGAAAATAGCAAGCATAAAGCATCGAAATGCTTTGCAGATGTGAACATCAATATTGATTCCAGAGTAGATCTCTTCGATTTATACAAGGTCAATTGTATACTGGAAATGACTTTTCTGACAGTAAAAAAAAATCAACAGCGAAAAGGAATCGCCGGATTATTAGTGTCATCATCATTAAAATTAGCAAGCGGATTGAGAAGAGGAGTAGCCAAAAAAACTTCTGTTGATTTTAACAGAACGTCAGTCAATAATGCTAATGTTATTCCAAGTCTTATTTCAGCGATATTTACATCTCCATATTCTCAAAAAATAGGCGATAAACTTGGTTTTGATAATATTATGGAAGTGAATTACGATGATATGATATTTAATGGTCAAAAATTGAGTACAAAACTAGATAATATCCAGAAATTTGCTCGAATTACTGCAAAAAGAGTTTAAATACATTACGTTTTCAAATTTACATTAATTAGTCTGATCTTGATGATGTAATAGTAACAAAAATGATTTTGTTTCAATAAAATTTCAGTCTGACAAATTCATGTAGAGTAAAATTAGGCTGTAGCTTATTAACCCCGCTAAGAAAATTGAAAATTTTCAAAAATCGGGAAGTTATTGTTTTCACCCCGTTTTTCAAAAATCGAGTTTTCATCAGATCTCGACGTTTTGAGGTCCTAGGAAGCTTTCCTGACTATTTCCGCGGTGATGTCACCGTGTCTGTATGTATGTGTGTGTGTGTGTGTGTGTGTTTTTTTCCCTTAGGGGGGGGGGGAGAATCCTTTTTACGGATTCTAGGCATAGCTGTTTGGCCTGGATATGTGGCGACTCGACGCAGCGTCATACTAAAACTCGACGCTAACGCCCCTACCCACTAAACCCTAAACCTCTTTCCTCTAATCCCTCATGGAAACCGCCGTTAGGCATTACTTCGTGGGGGGAGGATATAGCGACTGCTCTTCCTTCTGGTAGCTAAGGTGTTATTTCACCTTTCTTCTAGTTGTTGTCATTTGCTCTTTTTCTTTCGATGGAACGCAAATCTATGAGGACTTCTGTTGCAAACGTGTTTGTGGCGTTCCAAGCAGCCTCTGATGACAGCATTGCTTCTACTATTGTCTCTGGTTGGATTTTCTTCTTCAGGATCATCTCCAGCTCATCTCGCTGCGGGTAAAATCGTGGGCATTCAAAGAAAACGTGCTCCGCGTCTTCATTGATTCCTGGGCAGGACGGGCACTGCGGTGAATCATCATGCTTGAAGCGGTGAAGATACGTCCGAAAACATCCATGTCCTGACAACATCTGCGTCAGATAATAATTGACCTCGCCATGACTCCGGTTTAGCCAAACGTCGATCTTCGGTATGAGACGGTGTGTCCATCTTCCTGTTGTCGCGGCGTCCCACTGCGATTGCCATTGTACGATGCTGTTCTGCCGTTCTTCAGCTCTGAGTTCCTCGGCACTTAGTGTGGTTGACCTCTTTCGTTGGTAAAAGTTCCGTCTTTCCTCAGCTAGAACTCTGAGCGGCCAGGTTCCGGAAATGACACACACTGCTACTTCTGATATCGTGCGGAATGCACTGGCTAGTCTTACAGCGCTCAGTCGATATACTGGTCCAGCTTTTCTCCATGACCCAGTCAGCACAAGCGAAACAAAGTTCACGTAAACCTGCGGCCGGAATTTGACGTAAAGTTTACGCTAACAGTAGAGCAACAGTTATACTTATAACAGTTGACGTGAAGTTAACGTTAACTTTCTGCAACTTTGCGTTAACTTTGAGCGAACCTTTCGGAAAATTCCGGCAATAGATTTACGCTAACTTGATGTGTAAGTTAAAGTCAAGTTCTGGGAAACTGTTGCAAATGCAGAGGTTGACGTGAAGTTAACATAAAGTTGACGTAAACTATTGAACATCAACCTAGTTGATGGTCAACCTGTGCTAACTGGGGATTTTTGCAACTCCAGCGCGTCTGACCAAATGGATATTCCATATGTGAGCACCGATGTAACCACTGATGATAGTGTAGTAGTCTCCTGCTCTGCTTTGGGCCTCCGACGTTCGGCATCAGTCGTGCGAGACTAGCCCTCACTACTGACGCTTTGGCACTGACGTGTTCCACTTGCTGTTTAAAGTTGAGTCGGGCATCAAGCATCACTCCCAAATATCGGATATAAGGTTGTGATGTGATTTCTTGTTCGCCGAAGAAGGGGAAAAGATTTAATAACTGTAAACTGGATTTGTGTTCAAAAATATATTCCACAAATCAATAATATTTTTATGTTATCATCCTAAAATTTACAGTGAAAAAAAAATTCGCGGGAGCAAAAATTTATCGATTATTTACTTTACCAAAACAATAATGCAACATGTGTTCTTCTTTACAATTTTAATAATGACATCATTGAAATAAGATAGCGTTTCATTATGAATTTTTTTTTTTTATAGCAACGATGTATAGGAATAATAACTTGAATTAACACTTTCATTCCAAGTATCGACTTCTGTAAACGTTATTTCTCTTTATTAAAAAGATAAGGTATCAAAAAATAGGTAAAAAAATTATATGAAATTTTGACAACTGTGTTTAATTATATCAACCTGATTATTTTTCTTTTTTTTTATTTTGTGAAAAGAATACATGAAAATTATTTTAATCACATTTAAAAAATTTAATTTTTCAATACAAAAATATTCTGACAATATGCAACTATTGTCAGCACAGTTGTTAACATTTTTAACTTTCTGCGTATTAGTTAAATCTCAGAATATTAATTTCAATAGCGGACGAAGATTTTCAAGGTAATTATATTTTTTAATTTATTTATTCTTTAATATATTGTTAATCAATTTTTGTGTCATATATTCTAGCAATTTTGAGCAAACATTTAATAAGCAAGCGTTAGGATTTTCAAATGATCGAAAAATAGAAATTCAACCATTAACATATAGAACATTGAAAGGTGCCTTGTCTATCATTAAAGAAGTTTTTTTTGCCGATGAAAGCTTAAGCAAAGGTTGTAGTGTATCTTATGATCGCGGAGCCGCTGAAGAACTCGAGTCGTTATGCACTAATGTCGCTGCTGATGGGCTTAGTGTCGTTGCAATTGATGTTAATACAAGGGAAGTCGTCGGTGTTGTTTTAAATAAAATACTTGTAAGTAAAGTATGCATTAAAAAAAATTACTTAACCGAAAAAAAAAATTTAATTTTTAAAAATCAATTTAATTTTTTTAAATTAAATTTTTTTTTTTTTTAATTAATTTACGAAAAATTTTTTTTTTATTTAATTAAAAAAAAAATTTTTTTTTTAATTTAATTTTTAAAAACTATTTTTTTTAAATTAAATTTTTTAGAAATTATTTTACTTACCGAGAAACAGTTAAAATTAATTTTTTAGTTCGATAATTTTTTTATTTTTATTAAAGACACGATCTAAAAATAAAAAAAGCGGCCTTGAAGTATTTGGTGAAAATAGCAAGCATAAAGCATCGAAATGCTTTGCAGATGTGAACGAAAAGTTTTTTTTATTTAATTAAAAAAAAAATTTTTTTTTTAATTTAATTTTTAAAAACTTTTTTTTTTAAATTTAATTTTTTAAAAATTATTTTACTTACTGAGAAACAGTTAAAATTAATTTTTTTATTTTTATTAAAGACACGATCGCCTAAAAATAAAAAAAGCGGCCTTGAAGTATTTGGCGAAAATAGCAAGCATAAAGCATCGAAATGCTTTGCAGATGTGAACATCAATATTGAGTCCAGAGTAGATCTCTTCGATTTATACAAGGTCAATTGTATACTGGAAATGACTTTTCTGACAGTAAAAAAAAATCAACAGCGAAAAGGAATCGCCGGATTATTAGTGTCATCATCATTAAAATTAGCCAGCGGATTGAGAAGAGGAGTAGCCAAAAAAACTTCTGTTGATTTTAACAGACCGTCAGTCAATAATGCTAATGCTATTCCAAGTCTTGTTTCAGGGACATTTACATCTACATATTCTCAAAAAATAGGCGATAAACTTGGTTTTGATAATATTATGGAAGTGAGTTACGATGATGTGATATTTAATGGTCAAAAATTGAGTACAAAACTAGATAATATCCAGAAATTTGCTCGAATTGCTGCAAAAAGAGTTTAAATACATTACGTTTTCAAATTTATATTAATTAGTCTGATCTTGATGATGTAATAGTAACAAAAATGATTTTGTTTCAATAAAATTTCATTTTGACAAATTTATGTGAAGTGAAATTCGGTTGTAGCTTATTTTTTTTAGTTTTATGGTCACTGTTGAGATTTAAAATTTGTAACGAAGGGTTTAAGGTACCATAAATTATAGGATTTAAGTAAATACTTCGGACATACTGTGTGCAGATGTTTTGACAGATAGGTAAGATTTTTGTAGTTGAGTAAAATTGTAAGAATGATTTTAGAAGTATGTTAGAATTACGTGGGCACTTGAGGTTTAAGTTATTTTTGCGCAGTGTACAAGTATGACTGAGTGGGGTGAGAGACCAAAGTAGTAGACAGACCTCTGCCATATTTTTCTAATAAAATCCCTATAGAGGGATTTAAATATAGATTTAACTCGTCCGTCCAGGACCTTCTTCTATATTTGACTCGTCCTGACGTCCCCACTATTGCAACACTTAAGTCGTTCATGCGCAAGTCTGCACGATCAACTGCGTAGTGTACAAAAACAGTATGTGAACAACTATCTCGATATAACCTTAAAATTCACATGGATTATTATATTAAAATTAAAAAATGTCCATCAATGTGGAGAATTGTAAGGTAAGTTGAAATGTTAAATATTAATCCCACTAAAATTTAAATATATCCGCCACTGAGGTTTTTTTTCATTGGTTCGATAAAAAATAGTGGGAGATAGGATTGTCAAATATAGAGAGAGAGAATTTGGTCAAACATAGAGGGAGGTCTAATATAGAGGGATTCTACTGTAAACATGATATTTAGATTATCTGAACTTTTTCCTTTTTTTAGATATTAACAACATCAATATCCTATCCAGTATTTTTAATACTACATCTATAAAAATTGTTAATTCACTGTTTTAGAATTTTTAATATAAAAATTTTATTGATATAACTAAATATGTACAAGCTTAGAGTTTTATAACAGTGGAAGAAATAATTACTGTTTTTTAAAAATTACTTTCCGTAATTGTATCACACAAACGATAGTACGGAAAGTCGGCAAAAATAATATACAAGACATTTTTTGAATTTACGAAGTATCCAGTCATCAATTCAACCATTCCATCGGTGAATGTCAAATCTACCCCCGAACCCCGACGACTCTGGCCTCTCATGGAACGAGCAATTTCTCGTGGAGTTTTGGAAACACCGGAACTAATCGACAAAAAATTGATGTAACACTGGAATTTTCGATCCCTTTGGAAGATTTCATCTTGAAGTGACTTTATGGCTTGCCATTTGTGCTCTTTAAGCTTCCAATTAGACTTCCGATGGTCATTTTGGATTTTGCAAGGCAGACTTTGGGTACAACCTTGAAATCCGACATTTCCTCTTGCTAACAGGATTTTTCCACGATGCTGTCCAAGAGTGTCATCAATAGACCAATGGTCAACAAACAGATCACGAAATTTTGTGATGTACTTCTTCAAGACATAGCAATTAGATTTATGGTTTTTTTTCGCGTCAAATTCTTCTTGCATAAATATTATCACTAGCTCTTGAGGATGATTTTCCAAAAAATTTTGTACTTCGATCAACAGTTCATCAAATGTGATGCTCAAGTGGAAATAATAGTGATGCATCACAAATGTGTTGTTAGTTAGATGTACTGTTATGTCTAACACACGAATTCCAGATTCTAACTGCGTGGATATCGACATGTCTTGTGTTTTTACGTGTTCGTTTAAGTTTTCATCATACGCCGCTGAACTATGACTTCCTATAAAAGCGAGAGTACTTAGTTTCCAAGAATCGGGTAGTTTTGAAAGGTATTTATCGGTTCTTGAGTTGGGTGATCTGGTTGGCTCAGGAGGATAGCATCCCAAGATCAGAGAACATGAAGAAATCAGGATCAGTATCCGAAGGGATTTAAAGATCTCAATCATTTTTAAGCGATCTGAAAAATTAATTATTGGTTAGTTCGATATTTCGCGGTACTAATGGCAAAAAGCATAGCTTAATATATAGGCCCTTTTGGATTTGCAAAACCAAAAGGACGTATAAAAAATTTTTATCTCCAATCAACTAGGGAATGTATTTAAAGGAAAAATCTGGTTTGAAAACGCAAAAAAAAATTTTTCTCAATATACGCTCTTTTGGCTTTCAGAAAATAAATTCTTAAAGCCAATAGGGCATATGTAAAAAAATAGTCAAAGTAGGTTCTGAAAACCTTCAAACGTCGAGATCTAAAAAAAAATGATTTTTGGAAATTGAACTGAAAATACTATTATAGCCCAGTTTTTTGAAATTGTCAATTTTTGTCAGGAGAAGCCAAAAATTTTATTTTAATTTTTTTCAGAAAATTTTCACAAAATACAAAAAATTAAAAATTTTAAGAAATTGGGATGTCTAAGAGTTTTCAGTCTAACTTCCAAAAATCAATTTTTCGTTAGATCTCGACGTTTTAAGGTCCTTAGAATCTACTTTGACTAATTTTTTATATACGCCCTTTAGGCTTTAAAATTTTTAACTTCCCGCTAAGAAAATTAAAAATTTTCAAAAATCGGGAAGTTATTGGTTTCACCCCGTTTTTCGAAAATCGAGTTTTCATCAGATCTCGACGTTTTGAGGTCCTAGGAAGCTTCCCTGACTATTCCCGCGAGGGTGTCACTATGTCTGTATGTATGTGTGTGTGTGTGT